TCTTCTTCTTCACAATGTTATCATCACTTCCACAGTCATGCAGCTGTTGCAAGTTCCTGCAAACGCGTGCCAGCCTTGCCACGTTCTCCACACAAATAAACCCTCCCTCTCCCAGGTGCAGGCGGGCGAACAATGGACAGCCGCTTATGGGGTTCACAAGAAGCCAGGGTAGAGACGTGTTGCTCGGCATAAGCTGCGTCCCTCTGGCACAGTTGCCATCACGTGGAGGCCTCGGTTCTCACGCGGACCTTTTAAGGGGTGATGTGTGTGGAACAGAATGAGCACAGAACACTGGTTTTACAGTGTTTGAGTGAGCTGCTTTTGCCAGAGGTATCATTTCTACTCCTGCCATGAGAATGAGGCTGTAATAGCCCATATGTGCTCTTCCGTGGAGAGGTTTCCCTCTAGCCATGATAAGGACAGATGGGAAACCCTTATTAGCATCTCGTTTTTTTGGCCTTGCAGGCGGCGGTACAAAACTACAGGGACCGCAAAGCTGTGTAGATGAATATTTACAGAAAATCAATAAGATTCTGCATGGAATCTGGACCGAATGCGATTAGATGCAATTGCTCTTTACGGTAAGACACCCCAGGTGAATAAGGTAAAACGGTAACTAATAGATATCACCATATTGATTGCAAGTGAACCCAGTATATCCTAGTTGATTGATTACATTAAGAATTAAAAAAAATCTGAAACATTATGTTAAATATGCAAATGAGACATTATTTAATAAAATACTTGATGTGGGAGCCGGTCGCTTCGGTTCTCTGCATACATTTCCAGAACAGAAATCTGTACACTGGAAAAAGACAGGTTATTATTATTATTATTTTTCATTTTGGTCGAGAGTCAAAGGTTTTTTTACAGATGGGATTTTGGGTTTCTCGTTTTTATCACTCCATGAATGGGAAAATACTGTTAAAAAAAAAAAAAAAAAAAAAAAAAAATCACATTTAGGTTTTGTTTGTTCAGGCAAATGCTATTTAAGCACACCGCTCAGTGAAAATATTGATATGAATAAAACTGTAAAGACTTTCTATCTAAGCGATTATTTCTGGCTTTAAAAATATGCATTAAAAAAAAAAAAAACACTTAAAAGTGTATTTAAAATGTTTTCTTTTAACTAAAAAAATTCTAACCTCCCAACTCAAAATTTTCAATTGACCGGTCACATCTAAATTTTTCAATTGGCGTATGTGAAATTCTGCAAATTGATCAAAATTTTGAGTTAGGAGGTTAGAAATGTTTTACAGAGTAAAGTTTGTGTAAAGTCAAGACCAGTTCATGAAAACTTCCCTTAAAGATACCATGAGCCATTTCCATCAATTTAACTTCTGCAACCTGGTGCATTTTTGAGTCAAGATACTAATCCATAAAAATGAACTTGATTTTATCCATCGGGCATTGATTGGAGTAGCCGTTACACACCAGAACGGAACCAGATGGTTGTAGGGTTAAAAAGTAAGAGCGATTTGAGATGTCAGACAAAAATTAAAGTCATTTCCGAGGCAGAGCAAGTAAAACAAAAAGGTTACAAACATTTTTGGAGAGATGAATCATCAATAAGACCAGGAAGGGGCATTGCGGAAGTAAATAGGTCCATTTTGATTTCATGTTGACTTTAAAAAAACAAATGATTCTGCTGCAAGCTCACAGCGACTACAGTTCTCCATGCGCTGTGCGTAGGCCGAATATCTCAGCCATGGTTATTAATGAAATACTCACAGGAATGTGAATGAGATTAATATGGAGTCATAAAGAGAGAACAGCTGCTGCCATGGAAGTTGTGACTACAAATAAAAGTATAATGAACTCATAAAAAAGGCATGATGGAATTGAAAGATTAAGCACTGCAGACAAGCATGGCGTATAGAATATTTAAAGCTGCAGTGTGTCATTTCTGCACCACTGTTGGTACTGGACAAAAACTGCAAAACTTACAGTATGACTATTTCCCAGAAATCGGTCTCATTGTTGTATTTCCCCCAAAAAATACCTATCGTTTTGATCCGTCAATATCTGTGAGGTCTTCTACAAACAGATAGAGGTTCAACGACCTCTGGATGGAATGATCCATCAAAGGATAGACTTTGCCGTAGAGGAGGGATCTATCATCAAATGGGCACATGCAATGCGGAAACAATCCCCAGGCATTGCCAAACAGAGGTCGGAAAGAACAAATTAGGCTTTCGGTGCATGTTCTGCTAGTGACCTTTGGCGAGCGAGAAGGAGAGAAGAGGAGACGTGCAACTTTATGAGATTTGCGTTTTCTGAACCCATAGGAAAAGGTGGTTCACACTTACATTTGTTCAAGTTTCCTGCTTCTAATATTTGTTTCCTAAGAAAATGACTGGCATGCATGTGTCTTTTCAGTTTCAGAAGAGATCTCAGTGATGTCTCAAACTCAGATTTCCCAATCAAGTTGTCGATATAAATTCTATCAGCAAACTCAAAGACCACATTGTCTTAGATTTAACATTCATTTCATAACTCTATTTTAGTAATCCCAAATCAAAGACTTAGGCGAGTATCATATTTGATAAATCAGGATGTTATGGCTCATATATGGAGCACCTCAGTTTTATTCAAAGGTCCAAACGGAGCAAAAATATGCTGATATTTATATGGTCCAAAAGTAAGATGAAATTCTGTAAATCAAAGCTATCTTTATAACGGTCAAGCAGACTACTTACATAAAATGCATATAACTATCATAAATATGTCTCTCTTTATATAACAATCTTATTAAGATGATATTTAAATGCTGAGTTTTATGATCTCAGCAGGGCACGGGGGATTTTACTCGCTAGAAGGCATGTAGTAGATTTCAGGTTTTTCAAGAAAAACGTTTTGATGATTCTTTTGGGACTTTTGCATGTCCAACATGATCAATGACAGTAAGCTTTTAGGGTTGATGTCAGCAATTTTCTCAATTCATTTTAGACAAAGTTGAGACTTAAAGGAGTAGTTCACTTTAAAAAAAAAAAAAAAAAAAAAAAACTTTTGCTGATAATTCCCCACCCCCATGTCATCCAAGATGCCCATGTCTTTCTTTCTTCAGTCGAAAAGAAATTAAGGTTTTTGATGAAAACATTCCAGGATTTTCTCCATATAATGGACTTCAGTGGGAACCAAACAGTTCAAGGTCCAAATGAGAGTTTCAGTGCAGATTCAGGGCTTTAAACGACACCAGACGATGAATAAGGGTCTTATCTAGCGAAACGATCGGTCATTTCAAAAATAAATAAAAAAGTTGAAGTTTTATAAGCACAAATGCTCGCCTTGCTCTGTTCTCCTGTTCAAACTCGTTCATCAAAATGAACAAATCTTTTTTCGATTCATCGTCTGGTGTCGTTTAAAGCCCTTTGAACAGTTTGCACTGAAACTCTCATTTGGACCTTGAACCATTTGGTTCCCAATGAAGTCCATTATATGGAGAAAATCCTGGAATGTTTTCATCAAAAACCTTAATTTCTTTTAAACTGAAGAAAGAAAGACGTGAACATCTTGGATGACATGGGGGTGAGTAAATTATCAGTTTTTTTTTTTTTTTTTTTTTTTTTAAGTGAACTACTCCTTTAAGTGGAATATAACAGATAACTCCCCCTAAGCAATAAAAAGAGCAATCAAATGTTTCACCGCAAAGTACCAAAGTTCCGTCAACTCGCATCTTGACCTTCTGCTGAACCCTCACCAGTCGCTGCATTGCAATTTTGAAAACGATCAACAGAATCTCTTCCAAAGCAGAGATGCTCTATACATATCAGCGGCAGACATTTCCTGCCTGCAGAACATTTTCCTTCACCACTCCTCATTCAATATCAGCCATTCAGACTTCCATTAACGTTTCGCCCGTGCCTGCGGAGCGTATCATCAAAGCCTGTCACGGAACGAGATGACATCACCGCATCCCCAACACATCACCAGAAACGCCAGCTGAGACGCCGCGGGACGAGGAAGGTCTGAAAGTTTACACTCAAACACACCCACGCACACAAATAAAATGCAACGACAGAGAAAAGCCGAGCCGTTGACTCCAGCATGCGAAGCGATGCACGTTAGAAGCTCTCAAATGAAGCAAAGAGAGAGGCGTACAAGCTATTATCAGAACAAAACTGCAGATGCCTAAGCTCTCTTCAAATATTGGGCCAATTTTGAGGTTCTGCTCGGCAATCTAGAGCACCGTCACCTCCTTTCATTATCGTCTTTTGTTCTTAATGTATTGCAAAGCTTGCAGAGTGAACTGCAGGTGTTTGATATGACAATTAGACTGAAGGCAGAGGAACGGCTCCAGTTTTGCTCTGTTTTCATTTGTAGTTCTTGTTTTCACCCAAGAAAAAGGCGGAGAACACAGAGAATATGTGGGAGACGAAAGAAGCTTGGAGAAATGTGAGTTTGTTGCAAAGTGCCTGTGATCGATACTAAAGAGCCAACAAAACTGTGATGTTATTTTGGGGAGAAAATGACAGGGCGCTTTATTCTTTATCTCGGCATCTGTCTCTGTATGTGTGTGTGAGGGAATATTGTGGGTGCTAGCAGCTTGATGTATGATGTGACTCTAAAAAAAAATTAAAGAAAAGGAAATGACAGCATTGTCTTCCTCTTTGCTGTCAGGTTGTACCAATAGACCAATGTATCTACAGGTAGGAGGCCACAGGAGCAGCACAGTGCAAAATATATATATATATATATATATATAAACATGTAGGTCTTTATACATAGCTGGCTTTATATTTTAGGAATGGGATCCCTTTCAAGGTGAGGGATCCGAAAATCTCTTAGCTTTAGTGTTCAAATACTTTTTGTGGTCACCGTATCTGTGTGTTTGATGAAGAGTTTGTGTAATAAAGGATTTTATGAACATTGAAAGAATGTTCACCTCTAACAAAACTCACATTTTTGGAGCTACAATCGCCTGGGCCCATGGTCAAAGCTCTCCTAGCCCCAACACACTCACGCACACACACAGAATCTCAGATAAGCAAGCAACTTACCCGTCACGTTGACCTCTACCAATCCAGAACGTGTGCCGATGCTATTGGTGGCGTCACAGACATACGTTCCTCCGAGCTCGTAGGTCACCGGGCCTTTGAAGAACAAGGTGTTGTTCTTGATTTCAATATTATTGGGAAGTGATCCATTCAACCTGAGGAAAACAAACAGACATTTTTAGTTCACCTGTATGGAAAAAAAATAGTTTGATGGGAGATAATACCAACTCATGTTGGGTACGATTGGGAATTTTGACGATATCTGTAGATCAGCCGTCATTACGAGGACAGATTCAATCTGCTTTGTTGTAACAAACCAAACATACCAGGCATACTTCAAGAAATACACATCTCAACCCGGCAGACATGAAGGGTGGTACTAAAAAACGACTGAACGGGCCCTTACAGGCCTGAATGCTGCCCCAGGACAGAGGGTGTGATTTGAAATGGAGAAAACAAACAAAGACAAAAAGCAGAGATGTCATATGTGGAAAAAAAAGTGTTATTTTGCTGCCACTCTTTCAGTTCTAGGCTGCTGCACCTGAAGTTGGCTCCCATGAGACTAAGGCAAACCGATGAAAAAAAAAAAAGTGGAGTCTGACTCTCGGTGGCTACCCTGAGACTTTAACTGTAGTGTCCCACCTGATTGTGGCCTAATTGTGAATTCTTGAAGGTCCAGCTGCCCTGCGGGTCTAAACATGTCCCGTTCTTCCTCTAAAGCTAGACAGAAGTTACAATCTTTGGCGTGCTGGTGGTAGATACTTCTTATCAGAGATCAGTATAACGATGCCTCCCCAGGCACCAGACACCTTCAGATCATCTTGTTCCCACTTAACAAGTTCCTTCCTTCCATCTAAATGACACCCAATCAACCATGTCTTTCAGGGTCTGGACAACTGGTGGTGTCATTTATAAGGACCTTTCAACTAGGAACCTTCACGGCAAACATTGGTCCGATGGCAACGTCGCGTCCCTGGTCAAAAATAATGGCGGTAGAATGGAATAAATTGGTCAAAATGTGTAACACAGAACAGATAACGTCAAAGACGTTGACATTACCAAAAGTATAAGTTCTGAAAAGAAAATCCAGCCCGTTCTTATCCTTTAGCGTCACATAGAACACTATATGACAAAACGGTGCTATACTATGCACATGGCACCCTTTATCGTTAATATTCACGCGAACCCAAGGCGTCATAAATCCTTTAGTGTAATATGAGACTACCCTACCCCACACCTAAACCTAACCATTATTAACGATGTTATATTAACGATAACGGGTGCCATGTGCGTAGTATAGCGCCGTTTTGTCATATAGGGTTCTATATGACGCTAAAGGATGAGAATGCGTTGGAAAATCACAATAGAGAAATTCAAACGTTCAAACGAAAAAGCAGTAATAGCAGGGTTCTCAAGTCTCACGCATTGGCCGCGAGACACGCAATTCAACCGGTTCAAACGCTCATTTCTCACGCTGAAAAGGCAACGTCAACCAAGTTGTCCTACACAGTGAAGTTTCCTGCCGCCAGCACGTATCTCTCGGCCAGATTGCGTTCGTTTAGACGCCCGAACACACGAAGTTGACGGAACATTGTCGTCGTTACCCGGTAACCAACAACATCGCGCGAACAAACGTGATGGAGAAAAGCTCGTCTAACATTTTTAGGCTAGAACATTTGATATATAGCCCATACATTATTCATACATTATGAACAATGAGTAACATTGGGGGGCGGGGCTTCATTGGGGCTCCTCCCCTAACCGCATGTGATCTCACTCCAAACTTTTAATAAAACTTGAGAACCCTGAATATTAATTTAGTATAATTGTAGTATACTTGTGGGATCCATCGTTAATTGTGCTCATTAGTATTAACACAAACTAGAACATTTGTGTCTTTTATATCGTTATTGCTGCTGTTGGTTTCATAACAGCGAGTTTATCATGGTTAAGCTGTGTTGTCAGAAATGACGCAAAGCAGAGCAATGACTAAAGTATAATTACAAAATATACAACCCTAAACAAAACACACACACACCACTGGCTCGATCCTCAGACAATTTCACGCAAAACCTAACTTGAGCTTGGGTTGTATTGTTTTTCAAATGCTTTTATTCTTGAAGCAGAGGTTGTCTGCCTCCTTTCTAAACTGTTGTTATAATATTCATAACCTGGTTCAGGACAGGGCCTGTGAGACAGCTTTCAGCCCCCAAAAATGCAGAAGGTATAATGTGTTGCTCTAAATGCTGACTGCTGCAAAGCAATCTGATAAGATCCTGCAGACTAAAGACGGGAGGGGAGATAGATAAGGAAATTTGTCACAATGAGCTGTCTGAAGATAAACTCTGAGCGTGAGTGTTTATGACTGTTCTGCTCACTTTATGATATATTTATGGTAAGAATCTCTCGGGCGTGTTTTGATAGCTGGGAAATTAACGCAAGTCTGAAACTGAAAGTGTGTGCGAGATGGAGAGTACTTGTATCATAATTCAATGTGAAATCTGAAATTAAGTTAAGTTATATTTCGTATAGTCGTGCTTAGCCAGACTTTTGAATATCGGCATAAAGTCTGGCCCAAATGCTTGCTTTTTAGCCAAGAATCATTTACTTGGACAGGAAAAACTAAAATGTAAGCGACCAATCACAGTTTTAAGGTAAGTTTATCTGAAATTGTTGAATATTAGTTGCGTCAAGCCAGGCAATTAGATTAGAGCTTGCCAGACCAAGAAAGCACATTACATTTTTGTACAAAATACATCAAGTGGTTGCCAAACTGATTGTGACTCCTTTAATAAGGCTGAGACTATATTTCTTAAAGTCTGTGTGAGAATACTCTCAGAAAAAAAGGTAAAAAAGCTGTCACTGGGGCTGGGGCTTTTGTAACCATAAAGGCTGCATATTGGTACCTTAGTGGTACATATTAGCACCTAAAATGGACATATTACCACCTAAAATGTACATATTAGCACCTAAAATGGACATACTACCACCTAAAAAGGACATATTAGCTCATGAAATTGACATATTAGCATCTAAAATGTACATATTAGCAACTAAAATGTACATATTAACACTTAAAATGTACATATTAGTACCTAAAATGTACATATTACCACCTAAAATGGACATATTAGCTCATGAAATTGACATATCCTGAAATGGACATATTACCACCTAAAATGTACATATTAGCACCTAAAATGGACATACTACCACCTAAAAAGGACATATTAGCTCGTGAAATTGACATATTAGCATCTAAAATGTACATATTAGCAACTAAAATGTACATATTAACACTTAAAATGTACATATTAGTACCTAAAATGTACATATTACCACCTAAAATGGACATATTAGCTCATGAAATTGACATATCCTGAAATGGACAAATTAGCACCTAAAATGTACATATTAACACTTAAAGCACCCAAAATGTACATATTAGCTCATGAAATGGACAAAAGTTTACCTTTTGAAAAGGTACAGCCCCAGTGACAACTTTTGTACTTTTTTTTTACTGAGAGTGTATACTGTAATGTATTTCCAGATGAAACTGGGATAAAATGGCGAGGATTGATTTTAGCATACCTCATCATCTCTAGCTCACAGCACACTGACTGACGGTTAAATAGAAGTGGTTAAGGACGTTAACCCAATCGGAGATAGAAATCCATTTGACTAAAGATTATGCGATTGCCTCGAGCGGATTGATTGTTCAAAACAAGATTCACAATGTGCGCCCGAAGAGCAAATAGGTTTCAATTTATTTAATTCAGACTTTAATGCTGAAGTGTCTTTTCTTTTCTTCTCTGTGTTCAAATACTTTCTTGTAACCTTGTAGGCAGAGACTATTTGTGGGTTGACTGAAAAGAGTAAACAGTGGCACTTTCAAAACATGTATCCGTTTATTTAAGAATCCGACCAGCCTGACATAGCAACAGCGGCTCAACCAATAGCGTGTTCATCAACCAAGTGATTTTTTAAATTCCATCTGGTGGTGCTGAAATTACACATTTCACACTGCCAATGTTTGTCTCTGTTCCCTTTCAGAACAGCATGTGTGTAATGTTTAAGCATAACTTAAAATATGCAGCGTTTATACGACGTAACAGACTTTTGTAATTGAACTTCTAGTGCTTGTGTGTGTTCCTCCGTTGTTCTGGATTGAAATGTTCTGCAACAGCGCGGTGATGACCTCCAGTGTAGCGCCCAGGGGACCCTTCGGAACACATTTGGTGTCCGACCCGCACTGCTGCTGTGGCCGTCCCCTCTTATCTGTCACGCCGGAGCCCGCGTCTCAACCCATCACTGTCTTCTCCTCCGCCTCGCTCTGTGATCACACCATTCTCTTCTATCTTACCTTTTTCTCGCATTGTTTATCTTCCCGCTTTTATATCAACACCCACAGTTTGAATGAGACAAGTATTCTATCTCTTTTTAGAGCCGTTTGATAATTACGCAGCGCTTTTAGTGAGTTGAGTCAGTGAGTGTTAGTGTGCATGTTTGTGTTCACAATCTATTGATTCACACCATGACACTACTTTGATTTGGACCAGCAATAAGCAAACCACATCAGAATTTCATTCAGAGAATTTTATCAATGGCATAGCAACCAAAAACAAAACCCTACAACTTCTGCACTAATAAGGAACTAACTTTTTTCCCCCAAAATGTTGAACTGTCTCCCCATTCCCATTGTCCCCATTTTTTTCCCCTTATCTCATCTCATCCCTTCCTTTTCTTCTCTTTTATGATACTTCCAGTCTCAGCATACCAATTACTAATAAAAAATGCCTCGAGAAGACCTTAGCACCATCCGTGAGTCCCTCTTCACAGAGTTGGCTGTTGTATATGTGTCCTTTGATACCCTGAATAGCCCAGAATGCTCAGCTCTTTCCCCTCTCTCTCTTGTCCTCTCTCATTAAAACTCACCCCGGTCCACACAGGCAGTGTACCCTGGGCATTGCCAGCTATTAATCCACCACAGCTGAAGACATGTTTTCCTTTCCCAGCTTTCACTGCCTAATTACAGAACAAATTGCCACATTTATCTCTCAGTTTTTGCTGCATAATTCCTCCATTTTTAATCGTAACACATGACTAGCTCGTCCAATGTTTTCCAACGTTGTTGGTGGTGTTCGGTATTGTTCGC